TAGTCCTAATACCTTTAATTTTCCTGATCACCTCCAGACAGACAAGAGCTAAATAACATTTCAGGAGTTACTGGTCCTGATCATACTGAACACAGCTGCTCATGCAGATACAGAGAATCAAAGATTTCTATGTAGATTATTCTCCACTATTTAGGGGTTTAAATAGTATTTAAATAGCATTTTGACTTTGAAGCCTACTTGCAAGAGTATTAGATAGCTGGCTATTGAATAAATCAGGACTGCATTGCAGAAGATGAACAGTTCTTTGATAGGTACTGTAATGAGAAAATCTCCTACCTTTACTAACGGGGCAATTTTGGAAGTTTTTAATCTACAAACCAAACTGCCATTTACATAACTTATCAATCTGCACAGGCAAAGTTCAGCAGTTCAGAAAACACCTGAAATACGATACTATTACCTTCATCTAGTCTAGGCTAAGATCTAAGCACATGCCTCAGTTTTTCTCAGCAATCTTATTTGTGTAGCCAGAGCAACAAGACAGGTCATGATGATACTATTATACTAACCTTGACTAGGCTATGTGAAGCACTCTAATCACCGCTCAGCCTTGTTTTCTAATTAGTTTTCTATGAAGTTATACATATACATATTTTTTTTCTTTGTTAAGGAATATGTTAACAGGAACCTGAAATCTGTAGAAAAATTAATAAAACAGACTTAATCTTCCTCCATTAGTACAGAATCAACCAAGAATCATTTTCTTTGTGGAAAAGCCTTCAGTTAAGCCATACAGAAGTTACCTCTACTCCATCACATGAAACTCATCCCATGCACATGAATATAATCTCTGGGACAAAATGAAGTTTAGAGCATATGGTCACTGCTGGCTTTCAGAAATCATCTAAGATGTCTCAGGCTAAGAAATATATTTCCCATAACTAAATTCTTCAGGTGTTTTCAGAAACATGGTGGAATGCAATGTCACCATTTAGAAAGAATTAATTTGCTTATAACCTTGTGTTTAATTGACCTACAAGCATTGTTTCCATTACTTTTATCCAATTTGTTCATATTCCCGGCAAAAATTCTTTGATACTACAACCTAAAATGATTTCTAACTTCTCTACTTCATCTCCTGCAAAGTACAGCACCCACTTTATCTGAAAAATTAGCTAATCATTAGATCTGTGGCAAATTCCTTCACAGATGGTCTGTCTTTATCTTTTCAATGCTTTAATTGGATTTTTATTTTGCTGTGATCAAGCTTAATAAAGGTCCTTTTCACAAGACATCCCTCTTGCATATATCATGTTGTCTTCAAATGTAGTTTTCAATCCCCCAATTATTCTTTAAGGAATGTTTCTTTAAATGTGCTAAATCTACACCTAAACATCATTCTAATGTGCATAGTCTCAGAATACAACAAAAACTTTGCAGACTATTCACAGACTGCATTTATTATTACAGACATGGGAACGTTTATAGACAGACTTTATCCCACCATTTTGTGTTGACGTTTTCCTTACTTTCTACTTTTCACACAATCCTACACTAATTTGTAGTTCAATAATTATCTGCATATTTAAAGTTCAGATGACTTTCCTGTAGGCTTTTTCACAATTAAAAGTTATCAGAGATAGATCACTGACGTATAGTAATGTTATACGTTTGCAAATTAAACACAGTAAAAATTTGCTGACTTAAAAATTCTTATTTTTATTCCCCTCTGCCACAGCAGTGATTAACCATGATATTCTAAACTTAGTTTCTATTATTATCTTTTCCAGGCTAAATAGAAATCTCAACTAAATTGCTTAAGAGAAGTTCAATACAATTCACCCTTCAAAATTATTAAATCAGAAGTCAAAGCTAAGATTACTGCATCTGGCAAATAGTTTCTTGGATAATGCTATCATTTATTAGAAAGAGAAATGAATACTTACGAAGTTGCCATTGCCCTATTTGGGAAATTTACTTACAGTGGTTCAATACATTACTAGTTTTTTAGGACCTTATAGTACATTTGCTTCTAACAAAAATACTGTTGTTTTCTGTATTCTGTAATAACGTAATCTTCTTCATCCCTAAGAGTATTCACCCATGGTTTCCTTCTCCCAGCTTGGAACAAAGATAATAAGTCTTTCATAGCAATCTAAGTCTACAAACTCCTTCCTTCCAGAAGCCTCCCATATTATCACTTCCAAAGCTGTGTAACATACTAAATACTAATAGGATTAACTTGGTATCAACTGTAACATGAACTAATGAACATGTAATGAAGTAGTTCAAAGCCACTGTGATACATAAGTAGATGACTGTAGATAAGTTTCCCTTCCACTTGCTCATCACTCAAAAAATTTGCCTCTTACAAAATTGTGGCACTTCACTGCAGTGTATTTGATAAGAATCCTGCTGACTTTAGTATTGGTCAAATTTAGTCCCAGAACTTCATTTGGTAGTAGCCAAGAATTCCCACATGGTTTGTAAAGTATTATGATAGCTTAGTAGTATTATCATATAGTCAAACTGCAGTAGAATCTAGGGGTCCCAATTGGGAAGGAATGAAAGGACAATGGAATAGCACGGAGGATTTTTCATAAATACCATGCATTAAATAGTATAGAGGGAAATTTAAAGATACTTGTTGGAAACACTTAGGACAATAAAGACTGGCAATGAGGATACCACATAGTCAGCAGTTCAAGCACATAAGACATGGTAAGGTGTGGTCTAAAAAGTTAAAGCAAATAATCCCACAGTACAAGAGAGGGAACAATGGAACATCAAAATAACAAGAAGAAAAATATTTTAAAAGATACAAATGTTGCAAGCCAGTATTTGTTGAGACTAGAATGAAGATGACTAGAGTTGTTAAGACATGAAATGATAAGGTTCTGGGTGAGAGTTCTGGTCATGTAAAAGGAGAACAAAGGCTGAATCAGACTGAGACTGAGTAGGAAGAGGCAAATCTACCATCTTAGCAAAAAAAAAAAAAAAAAAAAAAAAAAAAAAAAGTAAACGCCAATGAAGTGAAGTCTAGCGTGGAATAACATGTATGATCGTGCACGTAGTGCCCTGACAGCATGGCAGTTAAGGTAACACCATGGTTCTCATGGGTTAAATACAAATGACGTGCTGGAAGGAGGCTATACAGCTGGTTCTGCAGACACAGGACATATATCCTTCTTCAGGTTTTTCCTAAGAAAGTACTTTGATGTCACAGTCTTGGTAGAAATATAGTCTTAATATTTCCCTTTTGTTTCTTGAAGTCCTTCCTGCATTGCTGACAAAAATACATTCACCATTGTGCTGATGGAGAATTCCAGTGCTGTAATGCAATATTCCCCTCCAAATTCTGACAAAGCCATGACTTTAAAGTCTGTTGATACTCATCTGACAGATCTTGGCACTTGGTTCAGGAAAGGATACATTGATATTCTCTCACTTCAGAACCATTTTGTAAAAACTTGCCTTGATTTTGAAATGAAAGAAAGTTTTGCTGCCAAAATCTTTAAGCGCAGTAGCCCTCAGAAGGATCTTGTGTTCCCACCTACTCACTAGTCATTTCCACAAGTATCAGTTAAAACAAAGGCAAGAAAAGTGGTCTAAAGTTGACCGAACAGCAGTAAATAAAACACATTTACTGTAAGTCTTCTTTCTAACACTAGTACGTGAGATTCTGGCACGATATACATGAAATCTTTTCAACCAATTTTAAGAGAAAAAAAAGGTATGTTTCCTTCTGCAAGCAGAGATTCATATTCTCCACAACTAAAAAAGCTTAATCCTTTTTAAAAAAATTAAAATATTAGTAAAAAACAATTAACTTTCATTTAATTTTCAAAAGTCTATTCTATCTCCATTTCTGAGTAAAAAGCAGTGTGCAGTTTTAAAAAGTACCTTAATTCATGACCTGGTCTTAAAAGTGTCATCCAATCGATTAACTGTTTCAGAAGAAAATGCTAAAACTTGGAGGAATGACAACCTCAACGTTACAAACCAACTCACTCTGAAGGCTGCCCGCTCATTAAAGACTACACTATTTTTTTGAAAGGAATGATCTTTGGAATTTTTCATAAATAAAACTACCACAGTTCAGGGCCATTTGTAAAATCTGTCTTAGGGTGAATGAATTTGGGTCAACTTTTCAACAGACTTCCCTGCATTTAAAAAATGTGATGGTAATTCTATACTCTCTTTTCATCTTTGCAGGACGCAGCACCAAATTCAAGTTTTGAGATGACTTTCATATATAACATCATTACAGAAACTATGGAAAGATTATATTGAGTAATGTGATAACATGCTGGTCTTTGAAAGATTGGTTGGATAAGTTTGGCAACCATGAAGCATACTGTTAATGAGAAATTAGAGGTTGTGAAATTTTTTAAAAGATGATGGGCCCCAAACTCTTATTCATCAGATACACCAGCTGGACAATCAGCGGTGAGATAAATTTTTAAAGCAAAAAACAGGCTGCAGTACATTCTGAGTCAAGAATTTCTGGAACAGTTGCACAATTCAGTTATACAGTAAACAATCATGAGAAAATAAAAATAGGAGAAATACATACATAAATCCATTTCAGCAGAAACTGCCTGGGTCTTTAATTTTGTTATATTTAAATTTTTTCTTCCTAAAATTAATAGCTTTATACACTCCACAGATGAAAATGTAATGCACAAAACTGAAAGGAAAAAGGCACAATTTAATTAGACAAGTCAAGATTATTTTAGGCCAGTTTATCTAATTTTTTAAAAATCTGAACTTTACTAATTCCTCAAACTTTTGAACAAAAATAAAACCAAAATTTCAAACTGTCAAACACTGTGACAGTGGGAATTTAGAAGTTGCAGCGTAAAACAGAGCTACTGACAGTAAGTACCTCAGTGAAATACATTGGTGTTATACTAGCAGACTAAGCTATGTTTTTTTCATTATGAAATACAATAGAATTAACAACATGTTGAACACAAAAAATCCCCAGAACTTTCATCGAATGACTGAGAGATGAGCTCCTAAGGACTGCAGGATTTTGCAGTAGCTGCCTCTTCCTGACAGGAACAAGTGTGTAAACAGAGAAGTGAGTCTGATACAATTCAGATACACCGTATGAGGACAGGCATTTAATTTAATCTGTAGACAATTACTGGTAATGCTGCTTTGTGTGCTGGGTTTAATTCCTGGGCTGTGAAGTCATGAAATGGTGCTCAGCAGAGCAGAAAGGTGAACAGCATCCAGTTAACTGAAAGCAAAGAGGCCATTTTACATATGGCTCTATAAGCTGGCTAAAGCGGGGCCTGTGTCTCAAACAAAGAACACTGCTTCACAGCCACATTCCCACCCAACTCACTGAAATCACAAGCTGTAAAGTAACTTACCACAAACAATGGTTAAGCCTCTGACTTGTGGCTTGAAGCAAATTTTTTGTCAGACTCTATCTGTGGACATAATTAGTTGTTTGCCGGAGAATTTCTGGCACAGCCGACAGCCTAACACTTTTAAAACCAGCATGTATTTCTACCCATTTGGAAATGAGTTCCAAAATAATTTATTGTCAGAAGCCATTAAATTAAGGGTACAAATGATTGAAGAGAAAGCGTTGCTTGAAGATATCAGGAACCCACTGGATACCTGCCATTTCTGGGATATTCACAAGGGAGTTACTTCTGAAAAACAAGAAGAGGAAATAGAACTGTTAACTATTTACATGTACCTAAAATACCATTTATCAAGATTGCTCTAAGCTCTAAATTTGCATAATGATGTGGTGGCACTGAGCCATGCCCGATACCTGGAAAGCCCTAGTGACTTTTCTTAGCTCACAGAAACAGGAAAATGAAAAGGGGGCCTTTATTGCAAACAAGTAGGATTGGAACTGAAGCACAAGTCAAGCAGTACTGTTTAATTTTAGGCCTGTGTGCATATATAACCTGGGAATGTGGCAAAACATATTGCAAAAATTCCAAGGACACTAGTGATCAAAGTTTTGGGCAGTGCACAGGCAGGGCAAAAGGGTGCTGGGCCACAGCTGATGCTGCAGTGGGCTCCATGCCATTCAGGAGCAGAATGGCAGGTCTGCGCTGCTCTCATTTTTATGGTTCTTAGCCTGCTCAGACAAACTTCCCATATAAGTCACCTAAAAAACCTACATGTTATTGATAGAAACTCCAGGCTAGCAGCAGAGCTTTCCATGGGACTTGATGAGATGCTTCTGCAGGTCCTGAGGGAACTGGTAGATGAAGTGGCTAAATACTGGTAGGTGAGATTTTCAGAACAAATTGAGTGATGAGCAAAAATCTCCACCATTAATGACGTAAGTTAGATTTGAAGGATAGATTTTTTCTGTACAATTTCATACAATTCTACAATACTGTTTCATACAAATTAGATGTGAAATAAATTCTAACCTCCTGTCTACCCTCAAGACAATGAAGCTGGACAAGTTTCTAAGTATTAACATTTTTTTCCCAGTAAAGGCAGTGTGTACATACACTCACACACAAGCCAAGGGGTAGTTTGCATCAAAAAGAAAGAAAATAGAAAAAAATAATTACTGTAATTTAACAGCACAAAAATTAGAAGACCAAAGGGAAGTGAAGGGGGGAAAAAAATATTCAGCACAGAGAAATTAAAATACAATGTTATAATGCCAGTTACAGATAGATTTCAGCATTGCTACGCTGTGTTTGAAAACAAAAGTAACTAGCCAGTATTCAGGTGGACAGAGGCCAAACTAAGACATACTGACAGTAAACAACTAGCATAAATATTAATCACAGAAGCAACTAGATTAAAAGCAAAAGAGATTTAGCATCTGTCTGTGCTTACAAAAAAACCCCAACAGTTCATGGTTTTTAGAAGTTGAAATCAACATTTCATTTACAGTTATTTAGATCCTGTTCTAAATTGACCATGTTAACCAGATTGTGAAGTCAAAAGTTACTTCTTCAGTGAATGAATAACAGGGTTAGTCAAGCTGCCAATCCTTTTCCCTAAAGCAGGAATATCTCATATAAGGCAACATTCTTCTCATAAGCTTCCATTTATCTCATGCAAGGTTCATTTTGTTGTTATCCATTTTGTTATCTGGCTTCATGCAGTATCACCAACACGCCGATGCAACAGAAGAAGAAAGAATATCAAAGCAGAATTTACCAACATAAGTTTCACCTTGTTTTCCAGCAAATAATAGAAATGAATCCTTAAGAGAATTGGTCCATTCTAGGTTGACATCTCATCCTATCCATAAGATTTAGCATAGTGGAAACTGATGGACTTGCCTGGAAAAGGACAAATACTACAAAACAGAGGTTTAGAGTGTACATGAAAGAGGGGGAGTCAGCAAGAATGCAGAAAGCTGAAGCAAAGACTAAATGAGGAAGGAGACAGAGTGAACTACCTTCCTATATCTCTGCAGACCAACAGAATTCTCCATTATGGACATCACCTCTTTAATGAAAATTAACCTGGAAACTCCTAAAAACCTCTTTGCTTTTTTTTCAGCTGGTAAAGCATTGCCAGTTGGGCACGATCCTTTCTTTGTGTTTCATAAACAAACATCACAGTCTCATTTCCCTACAAAAGCTTTAATTTATTCCTGAACATACACAAAACCAGAGCTGCCTTAAAACAGCAAATCTCTAAGTAACTTACCACTAAGAAAAGGACCCCCTGAATACTATCTCAAGCTGCAAACAATGCCAGCTTGGGAAGTAGAACATCTGATCTCAAACAGAGAGAAGGTGTGGCTGAGCAAAAATTGTATGAGATGATACTTCAGTAGGCAGAATTACAGATAGTCATTAACAAAGGATCACAGAAAGTGATATTCCAAAGCACCTAAGGGTTTTCCAGTTTGTTTAAACTCTTCGAAAATTTTTATCCTTGCACCTCTTCACAAGTCGGAAGCTGAACAGGGCACCTTGCCTTTTAAAAAGCCAGGCTAAGTGGTGTCCACAAAAAGTAAGATGAAAATGATTTCCCACTTCATGTCAAAAGGAGAAGATAAAACATAAGACTAGAAGAAGCCAAGTACAAAGTTACATAGATGCCACAGCTTCAGAAATTCAACTCAAGTAAAAGCCAGCCAGCCAGAAAAAAAGCTCTTAGAGAAAACTTTTCTAGATACTGTAGATATCCAATCTTTGTCCATGTACAGAAAAACCCCAAGTATGTTCTATAGCCCCAAGGGAACAAACTATTATTTTCAGAAATAGCAGAAATATGCAGGTCTTTCCTGAATCTGCTAGAAGCTCTCAAACAGGGAGATGCAACCATACTGATCTCTAACAATAGGACGTCTTCTATTTGTTTTTGAGATACACTATTACAGAAACACTCTCATCTTCCAAAAGAAAAAAAGAATCATTGTTTCTGAATGACAAAGGACTAATCCAGCTACTGTCTGTTGTTCACATCTTTAAATCAACTCTTGATAGAAATACAGGAAGTAAAATCCACTCTTAAATATAACTTGTATGAGGTTTGATGCAGTATAGAGCTAAATCACTGTATAAAACCCGCTGAAATTTCCACTCATCTAAGAAGCATTTCCAGGTTAAGTTAATTTGAAGAAGTGACTGAAAATTGGCTAAGGCATTGATATTGGCTGGTAATTAAGTTTTTACCCTGGTGGAGAGACCAATGAATTATATAGTTTATTGCAGTACAAATCCTGAGATTTGTGAAAGAAACAGGGTCTCAGCAAGCTAGTTTCTCTGAAGTCCATTAGTTTATATGGCAGTTTATCTGGCAGAGAAGAACAACATGAGAGGAAATGCTTGAGGCAGTTCATAAGGTTTTAAAATTCCAAACAGGTAATATAAAATATGCCAGATTACAGCTGAAAGTAAGTTGAATAAATCAACCATAATTATTCATGGCTTCAAATATTATTCATTCATTAACAATTTATATTAGAAGAAAATTTTGAATTAGAAGTCATGAACCAAAAAATATTTACATAGGGATAGCTTTACTTACTCATTATGATACTAAAATTATAGTCAGACTGGAGGAGGCAAACTAAAAAGCAGAGAAACACGTATCTTGTGATTTTCTCACTAAGGCAAGAAAAACGGCTTCTGCTAAAGCAGGATACAAATCATGACCATCTAGTCTGATAAAATGAGAACTTGCCACTGTCATCGAATTTTTGAGACTCAGAAACAAGGTAGGGAAGCTAGTTATGGAAAAAAGTATGTTCATCATTCTGAGACTACATGAGATCCAGTAAGAGCAGAAATGATTTTGTTTCTCTGAAAAAGCTAAAGCTCCTAGGAAGTCACCAATTCGTCCAGGTTTACAAAAGTTTTGCTCAACTCTGCTCACCTTCTTACTATCATTCTGATAATATTGATCACATCTATCATAAGATTAATTATAGTCACTAATAATTATATAGTCACTTAAGAAATTTGTGGCACCTCATATGCACAGTTACAGATTGTGAAAGCAGATAAATCAGCAGAAATCATTACTCAATAATTTTTCTATATATAATACCTGATATGAAGCTACCATTTTTGTATATCTATGTACTGTTTCGCTATACAGATGACTCACAAAATAAGCCAATGATTTTAATTGAGGGGGAAAACAAGCCTTCATAATTGCCAGTTACAGTATGTTTTACTTTCTTTCATGGAAACACACATCACAAAACCAGGAACCATATTACTCTAGTATTAAGATGATCCAGTGAATGTGACTGAAATATAAACATTCACTTTTGGGATTTGATAACCCTAATTGTAGCAATTTTTTTACTTCAAAAAGTATAATAATGCACTTTGTATCTAAACCTGTCAAGATCCTTGCAATGAATACACAAAAAAATAGCAAATGCTGTCCCAGATCTGTAGAAGAAAAGCTTTTAAAAAAATTATCAGATGCAATTCTCAAAATAATATTTTCAGAGAATTACAGCCTCGGCTTCATCTGTTCATCTGAATCATCCAGTAAGTTTACATTGACGAGTAAAGCTTGTGTTTATTTGCATTTCAAACAACTAAAAATTAGCTCAAGACGCTATATTTATTTGGATCTCTATATACAGATTTTAGTACAGTGCTATTTTGGCCTTCAGAACACAACTCCTGTTGCAAATGTTAAACAGGAAGTTGGAAGTTTTGACAGGTGAATTTGCCAAAGAACAGAGTTAATATTAGAAGCATTTTTAAACTTTAGCTGGATGCTTCTGCTAAAGTGACTTGAAGTGAAAATGAATGTGGGCATAGGAATTGTCAGGTCTGGGTTGACAAGTTCACATGCTAAGAACCAAAGGAGGATGCTCTTTTAAAACATTTGGCTTGCAAATGCAGGAACGGGAATTGCATCAGTTCAGATTTTCAAGATTTGCCCTCCCACATAAATGACCAGTTGGATCCTGATGCATGGCTCTAGAGGAAAATGTGCATTCTGTGCCTGCAATATATTAAGGATCCTAATTGTTTCACATCAGATAGGCGCTGGGTTTATACCTCACAGATACAGACATACTATAATGGGATTGGTATCAAAGTACTACACAACTGTATGAGTTTGTTGTATGAATTTCAAGAACTGAGGTCACACAACACACAAAAAGTCATTTGCTATTGGAAGGATACCAGTCACAATGCCAGCAATATTTTTATTGCTCATAGAAAAAAGTAGCTTTAAGGAA